ATTACAAAATTCAGTAAATCCAAGATTTTCAAATTCAGTTCCATGATCACTCCTAACACTAGTTATAGAGTAACTTTTGTTTTGGATTACTTTTGAAAACGTGATGAATTTTTCTAATGCTTCATCTTTAGCACTTAAGAATAGAACCCAAGTATATCTAGAATAGTCATCTACCAAGATAAATGCACATTGTTTTCCACCCAAGCTAGTAGTCCTAGATGGCCCAAAAATATCGATATCGATCAATTGTAATACTCTACTAGTTGATACATCATTAATGAACTTAAAGGAAGCTTTTCTATGTTTTCCTTTAGAACAAGCATCACAGATTTTATCGTTATCAAATTTTAGCTTTGGCAACCCTCTAACTAAATCTCCTTGAATCAATCATTGCAAAACACTCATACGAGCATGTCCTAGTCTCCTATTCCATAACCAACTATCATGCTCATCCTTAGCAACAATGCATAAATTAGTCATATTGATAGAATCTAAATGCACCATGTAAATGTTTCCTATTCTATAACCAACAAGCATAATCAAAGTAGATGCAATGTCAATCAATTTTGCAAACACTTAATTTAAAAATAAGACATTGTATCTTTTGTCAAATTCATCTAATCGGATTATGCTTTAATCCATTCGCATACAAAACATTATGCAATGTTGATTATCGAGATTAAAAGCACATGCATAAAGTTTTTGAAAATTTTCTACATTAAAACAAAAAAAATGCATAAACATTAAAAAAAATTTAAGGTCAAAATTTTGCAAAATCCAAAGTTCTTGAAAAAAAATCGATATCAATTGTTAAAGGTATATCAAAAACAATTTTGACCAAAAATTAATATGATGAACTAGAGTTTATAAAACATTATCAAAAATTGCTATGTTCATCATACAATATTTTTCAACATACATGAGATAAAACATAATCATTTAGAATTATTCAACATTTAAAACCTCATGCATGCATAAACTAAATGAGCAACCAAATAAAATAAAAAACATTAAGTTTAGAGGTTACCTATTCCTTTTTCATGTGTGGCTAGAGCATCTTGAATATCATCATCTTCATCACCATTGCTCCCACATACCTACAAGAGACATTTAAGTAGATTTTGGTATCCAAATTGCTTTGGATCCTTGAACATTAGTTTCAATGTCTCTTGTTCCTTTTGGAACCCATACTTGTCTAATTTTAAATCGTTTTCCTTTCTTTAAAGGACAAGTATGTTCCTTATGACCATAATAATGACAATGTGAACATATTGTCATTATTGAACTAGATGAATTATTTAAAATGATATATTTTTCTTTTGTTAAACATTCAAGCTTAACTTTCAAATCGAAATTTTCTTTTTCAATACTTTCAAATTTCATTTTTGAAAGCTCTAAATCCTTCTTCAAGATTTCATTTTGATTTTCAAAATCCATTTTCGTTTCTAGAAGAAGTTTGTTTAATTTGAAAATTTCTTTTTCAAAGTTTTCAGATTTTATCTTTGAAAGCTCTAACTCCTTTATCAACATTTCATTTTGATTTTCCAAGTCTGTTTTAGCTTTCAAAAGAATATCATTTTTAGCAATAAATTTAGAAATTAATTTATTATATTTGGATTTCATGGTCTCAAACTCCGAAAATAATTCATCATAAGCATCTTCTAACTCATTAAAAGATTTTGAATTTAATCTATTTGAGTTAGAAGATACCTTTGGCTCTGTGAGAGCTAATAGAGACATCACCTTTATTGGTTCTTCTTCTTCCTTGTCTATATAGATCTCCTCAATCTTATCCCACATATCCTTGGAATTTGAACAAGAAGAAACTCCTTTATATACATCAGGATCAATTGCACAACACAACATGTGCATAGCTTTTGTATTTTGTTGAGCTTTCTTCCGTTCTTGATCACTCCACTTCTTTTCCTTCTTTGTAGGAGAAGAATATCCTTTCTCGATCATCATCCAAGCTTCCGTATCAAATGCTTGGATAAATATCATCATAAGCTTCTTCCAACGACGATAATTTGTTCCATTGAAGTGTGGAGGCACGTCAATTGGTCTGGATTCTTCCATGGAGAATGAACCGGAAGTGGACGCCATCTTTATCGAATTAACTCTTCCCGGATCTACTCAAGAGGAGGTTAAACCTTCAAATGAGTCAAGCTTGGATGCCAATTGTTGAGTTAATCGATCGATGGAATTGGCTAAGAGGGGGGTGAATTGGCAATAAAAATTTTGGTGGAAGCTTTTGCAGAAAATTGAAAATATTTGTACAACGATTTAGAGTGGTTCGACTTTCTCAACCAAAGTCTACGTCCACTACCATAGCTATCCACACTAAGGATTTTCAACAAATTCACTAATTTGTTCTTTCTTTTGAGGAAAAAGAGTAACCTTACAACTCCCTCAAGAATTATACCCCAAATTCTTGAGCACACTCTTTTTCAAAGAGAAATACACAAATTTGCAAACTTACAAGGAAAACCTCACAAGGTAGATTATTTGCACAATTCTAGAACAAAAAAGAACACTCAAGGATAAATAAAATAGAGCACAAATGGTGTTCTTGAAAGCACAATGAATATTGAATGAAAATAGGCTTGAAGTGCTCAAACAATGAGTTTAATGCTTTCTCTTTGATTCTCTCTCAATTCTTGATAATTGTTGTTTCTTGTTGTTGATCAATGGCTTCTAAGCTTGTTTAAATACTCCTTCAATTGATTCTGAACGTTGGGGATGATTAGTGGAGTCAATGGAGCCGTTTTAGTGTGAAATCAATTAATAAAACAGCTTGGAGTGTGGGGGGAATCGATACCCCCTCATAGGGAATCGGTTCCCTAAGTGTAAAATTCAAATATTTTGACCGTTAATCAGGGGGAATCGGTACCCCCTTGGGGGGAATCGATTCCCTCCGAGCATTATGTTTTTCTCGGAGCTAAACCATTCAGGGGGAATCAGTACCCCCTTGGGGGGGAATCGGTTCCCTCTGGAAAATCTGGAATTTTTTGCTTTGAAATGGTTCGAAATACTTTTTAAAATTGTTTTGAAATTATTTTAAGATTAAAACTTAATTTTACACTTGAGTAAGGATTAAAAATGACATTTGAAAGATTTGGAGTAATATTTTGATATTCGAATAATTATATCAAATATACTTAGAAAATCTTTTGGAAAATCTTAAAATTCATTTAACTTAATTTGTTATAACGAAATATCAAAATGTTTTCAACACATGGTGATCCACTGCCTTAGAAGCTAATTCGGCTCGATGAGTGTAATCAGAACAATGGTCGAATGCCCTCTGAGGTTAACATGGTTCTCCAAAATCTCTTACACCCAAGAGATTGGAGTGGACAAAAGTGGTATTGCTCTTCATTACTAAGAATTTTCGAAATGTTAAAAGCTAAAAAAAACTTTGTAAAAAGGAGAGGAAAGCATTGTGAACATAGAAAAATGAATTGCTTGATGAATTCGAAATGCTACAAGAGGTTTGTACTTTTAGGTACATTCTCCAAACCAAAAACGGAGAGAAAGGCATGAATTATGGAATCAATTTCTCTCCTATTAAATTACAGTAATGAAAAATATCAGTTTTACACTTGAGAAATGTGTATATAAATACAATTTTAGAAATTTTATTTTAGTTTCTTGAAAATATTTTTGTAAAGAAATTATTACAAATTTTCTCCAAAAAGAGAATACGCGCACGATGCGTGTCGAAGACACGCAATTGTCATGACAATGAGCCAAACGACGAAGATGGCATGAGTCTGCATGGGAGTTATCTTGCCACATTCAATATAAAGGGGAATGGGTGTATTCTTTTCCAATGTGGGATATTAGCCTTTTAGTTTTTCTATATCATTTACTAACAATACTAACAATGTGAGTGAATAAAATAAAAATGTAGCATTTAACATATATTTACACCAATGTAAGTGAATAAAAAAAGTGTAACATTTAATACACACATCGATGTAAGAGAATAAAATAAAAAAATGTAGCACTTAACACATACTTACATCGGTGTAAGTGAATAAAATAAAAAAATGTAGCATTTAACACATATTTACACCGGTTTAAGTATGCATATCTCTCAATATCTTGGTACCTAACAATAAATACATTACTATATTGATGTAACTACGTTTCTTTATTTTCAAAAAAAATTTAAAAAATAATAAGAAATATATATTAAACTACTTATTTAGTTATTTACAAATTTTATTAAAATATATATAAATTAAAAATAATAGAAAATTATATTCAATTATTTATAGAAATATAATAAATTAGAAATATAATTATAAATTTAATTTATTAATTGTTAACCATTTATTAAAATTCATAGTCATAACTTTAACCATTAGTTAATTTTGTTAGTAATTTAATTAATTAAAATCATTTAATATTAATTATTTAATTAATTAATTTATTAAATATAACGAGTATACCAATTAACGGTAATGTTTTTTTAACCCTACTATTTAGAAATGAAGAAATTGCTCCAATGGATAAAATTGTGCGGCACGTGAGTATTTAGCAACGGCAAATCGCCGCATAAGGTTAAAATATCATTTCACTAACGAAATTAACATCTTCTGAACTCCCCCTATGATTGGACCGCGTCCACGTCGGCTCAAGAAAAATCAACTCGCTCCCGTGCGCGTTAGCCCTACTGTAGCAGCCGCTCCCTTTTAAAAATACCTTTCTCCAAAACTTATTTTTTTAAAAAAAGAAAGAAAGAAAGAAAGAAAGAAAAAACAGCTATATGCAAATTATTATATCCTATTTAGTCTCGAGGTAATGGATCTTATTTATTTATTTATTTGTCTATCAGTTATACCAATTTATTTTTGTTTTATTTCCCCCTTTCCCTTATTGGTAAAATTTGAAGGACTTTGTTTTTATCGTTTCTTTTTTAAAATTTTTTATGTTATTTACAGCGATTTATTGTTGTTTAATCGTTTAAATTCGGGCAATCGTTATGAAGAAATGTCTAGTTTATGGTCTTGTGTGAATTTCATTTTCATATTTAGGCATTTTACGATCAAGGGATTTTAATTTGCGCTTCCAATCAATTATGCTCTGAGTTACACATTTTAGTTTCACTTGTTAAAATCCTTAGTTAAGTTCTTTCTTGTAACTGAATTGTTAATTTTACTACTTTTATTTTCTATATGCAGACATTAGTTGTTTGGGGAATCTGTTGCTAATTTGAGCTTTTTAAGGTATAAAGTTAGTTGAAAGTAGGGCTTGTATAAGGTGATATTGTCTTCATAAAAGAATTTTGACTCTCTCGTCAAAGGATGACGCGTGTTGATACTATGCAATTGTCTAATGAACTGAGAGTTCATGATAGTCATGGTTGCGGTCAAAACCTTGTATGTGATATCTAGATCTTTCTGTTCTACCATTTCTATGTTCCGTCTTTTCTTCTCCAAGTATTTGCAACTGAATATGTTAATGTCAACAGGGTGTCATAGGAAAAGGCCGGCTACATTTAATTCGTATCAATCTTTCCTCGCATGATATGGTATGATTTTCATATTCCTTGACGAGTGCAGAAGCTTTTAAGCCACTTATTTTTTCTGTTTTGTTCATTTACTGCTAGTTCAGAAAACATGAGAATTGGTTAGAGTGAATGTGATATGCATTTGCATGCATGTGATACCACTTTTACAAAGTCTGGAGACATGAAAACCTCTTCTGTTTCTTATCCAGCGACAGGATGCTTGGAGACTTCATCTTTTGAGCAGTGTTTGTAGACCCATAAGACATGTATATCCCAGGTCTGATGTCATTATCTGCCGATCTGTTCCAATTCCTAATGGGGGAAATGAGATTCCTATAATAAAATCTGCTGGTGTGGCTTTGACTTATTTGGCTTATTTAATAGAGAAAATAACTTCAGTAACCGAAAATGGTTTATAATATACGATTTTAACCAACTTTTTTTGGATTTACGAAAATGACCAACAAATTCGCAACGCGATCTCGAATTTCACAACTCAGTTTCCAAATTCGCAACGCGAATATGTAAATCGCATTGCGATTTTCCAAATTCACATTGCGATTTTCCAAATTCGCGTTGCGATTTTCCAAATTCGCGTTGCGATTTTCCAAATTTGCAACGCGAATTTGTAATTCGCAACACAGAAGTCAAATTCGCAAAGCGCGTTTATTTTCGCAACACGAATTTAATTTTCGAATTCGAAACACAATATTTATTTCGCAACACAAATGTAAACATTATAATCACAAATCATAACCTAAAACCCTAAATGACAACTCAATCTCATCTCTATCTCTCACTCTCTACGGCGACATCCGTCCCCATCTCTGGCAAAATCCGTCTATCTCCATCTCTCAGAGCCACCCTCACAACAATTCACAGTCAGAAATGGAAAATCAACCACCGAGGGTTACTTTTTTAATTATTTTTATTTTGAAATTTTTGTATTATTATTAGATTTTTCATATTTAAATTGATGATAAATTTACTGGTAATTTCAGTAATAGATTAACCATTTCACTTAGATTGCTTAGTAAATTCATTCGGTTGCTGCCAATACTACTAAACTGTTTAGTCATTAACCTTGTGAAGTTAGTATTTGTCTTTATTTTGTCTTTTGGTTGAAGTAATGTAATTCATTCAAGTTTCAATTTGCAGAAGACTATTTGAAACTATTATTCTTCTGCAAATTGAAACTTGAATGAATTGCATTACTTCAACCAAAAAACAAAGACAAATACTAACTTCACAATGTTATCTGATGCATTTTGTGAACTATGATAGAATAATGATTTGGGTGAATACCGTGCAAGTTTGAAACATATTTGGCTTTGTTTTCACTGTTTAATATCATGTCTGTTTATAGTGTATAATTTGTAGTTTTTGGTATATCTAACTTGGTATGTTTATTATTTTTGTAGAAATATTTTTCGGCTTCATTGACCTTAAGGAATAAATTAAGCCTAGTCACTACAATTACGTCGATGCTTACACCTATACAAAGAAAATTATTTGATGATAATTGCTTCGGGCCATGGCTGAAAGTGCAACATCCGGGTGGAGATGCTATGTTGACCTATTTGTTTCTTCAGACCATGACTAACGATCTACCCTAGAGGATAAAACGTGGTGATGAAGAGATATGGTTTTATTTTCCTCTAGCGTATACTTGTTTTGGGCGGGAGGAGTTTTGCTTAATCACTGGTCGCTTCGGACACGATGATGTAGGTCGGTACACTAGTCATACCTGTTTCCGTGGGGTTCATATCTATGAAAAGCTACCTAGAAAAAGTTGTCGTCTGCCTTTGAGGACCGAAAAATTTTGCGTGGCCATGGTTCCAAATACACTTTGGCAGACTTTATTTGGGCCTTTAAGGTAAGAATTTCTATATAATGTTTCCAAAATTATAATTAATTATTTAACAATTACTAATGTTTGTGTATTATATTGTTTGTAGATTTGGATATTTGAGGCTTTTCCCATCATGCGAACATATGCAATCAAAAATTCAAATGATATTCCTAGGGCTATTTCCTGGAGTAAGATCCGACCGTTGGAGAAGAGTTACTACCATATACGACGATGAATGATGTAAGTTAACACAAATACTACCATATATAAACAAGTTATTACTAGTAGACGTTTAACTTTGTTTGAGATTTTATATTGTTAGGAGGCTAACTATCCATTACAGAGGCTGACACCCACAGAGGCTGAGCTTGTCACTGATTGGTGGCAAGCTAGTAAGCGTTTTTTTATGGCACGGATGATGAGCAGCCCCCACTTCGAGAGTCATCACCTCACCTAGAGCCATCACCTGATCGAGCCGATTATACACTTCCACAACGAGAGCCATCACCTATTCAATCACATCATCGAGCCTCTTATCCACCATCACCTCATGATAGGCGACCGACAAAGATGCCACGAAATTTATCTCTCTGTTCTCCACCTCCACGGGATGAGTTAGGGGAGTTACGTGATGAGGTCAATGCTTTGCATGAGGAGGTCGGTACTTTACGTGAAGACAATAGTGCATGGTGTGATGAGGTACGGTCTTTACGTGGTGAGGTAGAGGTTTTACGTGATGACAATGGTGCTTTACGTGGTGAGGTATCTACTTTACGTAATGAGGTAGCCGCTCTTTGTGAGATTGTTGCATCGTTGCAGAATGAGGTTCATACTCTACGCAATGAGGTAAGTTTGTTTAATACTATACTAAAAATGAAAATAACCTTTTTTCGACATTATTTATTTGTTTATTTACTTATTTATGTATTAAATAATTTTTTGCGGCCCGATATGGTATATGTTTTAAGTCGGGTTTTTCTTGTATGACGGGGTTCACGCATCAGACGTCGTGCACGTGCCATTACATCTCCGTTCACCCCAATAGTGCCAAGACTCCGTAAGAAGAAGCCCGAAGCACCTTTCATCATTCAAGAGGCCTCTCCTATTGTTCAAGAGGCCCCTATCATCCTTCAAGAGGCCCCTCCTACCGTTCAAGAGGCCCTTGTCATCGTTCAAGAGGTCCCTCCCACCGTTCGAGAGCCCGATTCACATGGCATAATATGTCGGCATATTGATAAACCCCCTCATGTGTCCGACATGATGGATGAGACTTGGCTTTCGTATGAGTTACCGGTCAGTACCATTATGGTATCTGAAGTGGAGAAGAGAACACTACCGGATACAATTCTGGATAATACCCTTTGGGCTAAGACCGCAGTTGATTTTTATCTACATGAGTGGAGCCAGGGGTGTTACGCTGACATATGCAAACTCGACGATGATATGCATTTGTTTCTTGATCGGTCTTGGTGGGGTGTGTTATTAGGGGTTGAAGACAATGACTATTTCGACGGGGGGTTAAGTCTTATATTCTTCTTATATTGCATTTTGATTAATTTTTTTTTAAATTTATGAAATTCACTAATATATGGATTTTTTTATAAAACAGCATATTGATGCATGGGTGTCACGTCTTCTGATAATAAGGAAATTGAATAAAATAAAAAAATACGCGATGGAGTATTATGCCGACGTCTTTTCACGTAGCTCACTTGAAGGATCAGAGAGACACTTCATATGTGTTGGGTAATGGAAAAGCTAAACTTTATCCTGTGTGGTGGGAGGTCGATAAGGTTAGTATTTATTTTTGAATATTTTAAAGGTGTTCATAAATAAAAATTTGATATGCACAATTGAACATGTTGAATTACATACCATTGTCTGATTCGAGAGATATTATTTGTAAGGGATGGAGCGCTCATTTGGCTAAATACTTGGATGCGATTGATTATTGAACTAATTCTGGAAACAAGAAGCCAAAGAAGTTCAAAGTTACAATGATCAGAGATGAGACTGTACCACAATAAACGCAGGGAGCCAGAGGGGATTGTGGTCCTCTCGTATGCATGTACTTGGAACGTTTGACGAAAGGAAGTAAACAGATTCTACCTCTCACAGATAGAGATAGAGGTGCAGTAGGCTTGTGGTTTCGGCATTTTATGGCTAGACCGATATATGCGAGACACTGCCTACCTGCATCCGCGTGCTGAAAGTGTGCATAAACAACACAAATTGGTAAGTTTGAGCAAGTGTTGTTAACATATATACTCTTTGTTTGTTTGAAAATGTTTTGTTAAGTACCTAGATAATTTTTTGTTCGATGGTTTTAAATGTGTAGAAAGTGTTGTTTGAGAAAATGTTTGGTTTCTGTAGGTTAATCATGATCCTGAAGTGAGCTGCGTGAAATTGATGTATTTGTGCATAAACATTTGTCTGCGTGAAATTGATGTATTTGTAAAAGTTTATTTGTAAAGTTTATTTGTTTAATTGATGAGGAAATAAGAATTATTTTTTGCTTGTTCAATTGATTTGTAAAAGTTGATTTGTTGTTTTAAATTTCAATCTGCATTATGTTGAAGGCAAAAAAGACCTGTTGAAGGTACACTTTCGCAACACGAAAATCAAATTCGCAACGCGAAAGTCAAATTCGAGTTGTGATGGTTGCGAAAGTCAAATTCTCAACGCGAAAGTCAAATTCGCAACGTGAAAGGCAAATTCGCAACGTAAAAGTCAACTTCGCGTTGCGATTTCGGGTTTCGAATTTGACTTTCGCAACAATCGCAACAAAAAATCTGATAAGTGATAACAACTGAACATATCATAGCAATGTTCAAACTCAAGTTACTAATGAATGTCTAACTGAAATGTATGCATTCACACATAAAATACACATAATACAATGTTTGCATTTAAAAATCACCTAAGTTAATAAGTCCCAAAAGGTGAAGCCGATTGTGATTGCGATTTTGATTTTGATTTCATTTTGCTTGACACCATATGAGTTTGGATTTTGATGAGGATCCATATTTTGGTAATGGAAAAGATGATTGTGATGGCACTGGTGATCCACAGGTCAACCTTGTATGACCACTTTCCTTGCACCGACTACATGTCGATATCCTCTTCTCTTCACCCTTAGACGGTATACAATCGTGATTTTTTGGTCGGCCAGGTAGCCTACTGTCCACGACTGGTGGCAAAATTGTTTGTAAGTCATTTGGTTTGTCCCACTCAGAAGGATGTGGAATAGGGTAGACAATCTCGGCATAAGTCTGTTGATATACTTCTGTAGTGTAGCAATCCATAGCGTATGCGCTTGAATCATATTGGTTTAGATGAAGAGCAACTTTTATAACATGGCCACACGGATAACCAGATGTTTTCCATTTCATACAACTACACGTCTTTGCATTTAGATCGACAAGCCCATTTAATTTATTATCCAATACTTCAAACAAAGTGTCTGAACATGGTTCAACTCTCCATGACGTTGACTTCACAACACGTTTCGT